ATATAATATTATTATCCCATTTTTAGCGCTTTGGGTGCGCTATTGCAGCCACTTTCTCTGTTCGTCCGTCTCTCCGTTCGTCTGTTCGTGCATCCATCCGTCCGCCCGTCCGTCTATCGATCCGTCCTAGGCCTTAACTACTCCTACAGTTTTCAATATTTAGTTCGTTCTTTTGAATTCAGTGGGTCATAGCGCTGGCACCTGAACCAAGAAAAATCTTGAGGACTAATGTGAGCATGCGCAAGTTGCATCTTTATCATCTTTCGTATTTATTAATATATTTAGATGAAATTTTAACCACATATACTTCTAGTAAAGACAAATATATCGCATATAGAAAAAATCAACAGGCGCAATGCCAACTTTCTTATTTATGGAGATATTTCTTTGAAATTTAAACCATAGACGCCTCTAGTAGAGAAAAACATACCCAAAGCCTTTTGGGGGCACTGATATATGCATAGAAAAGGCGCTAAAGTTACTCCCCTTAACGTGACAACCTTTTTACTTGTTTTTAAATCACTTCGTAAGTTTGAACTAAACAAATATTAAAAAGTAACAAACAAGGGTGAGTTTTGGAAAGATGTAGGTAAACGCAATTTTGACGCGTTTAAACAAATTGATTACTGTTCTGTCATCATTTTTTTAAAATATTTAATATAACTGTAGGAGGTTTCAAGAGATAACAACAAATAATCAAAATGTGAAATGTGTCACATTCATTTATTTATACAGGGTGGGATTTCGTGAGCATTTTTATAATGAGAATTTTATGCGCTTAAAATTACTTGGTTGCGGGATGGTGGTGCGCTGGTAAATGCTAAAACTAATGTAAACCTTTCCTTGACCACCCCGCCCACTTCTATCTAAAGGGACGTGTTCAATTTCACCGAAATGGTACCAAAATACAAGCTAGCATCACGAAGTAATAATGCGTGAACGTAGTGAGGAGTGAAGATGTGGTGAAAGGGGTTACTGGAAGTGTAAAGGAAATGGGGGAATCGTGAAGGAAGGTAAAGTAAGGCAGGATTTTTGAGAGAGAAAAGAGCGTCACTGGATGATTGTGAAGGAATGGGTAACATAAAAAATCATCAAAATGAAGCGTTCAGAAAAGATAACGAAGCCCGAACGATGAAGAAATCGAAATAAACCAAATGTTTAAAAAAAAGAAAGCATAAAAGAAGCAGACAGACGAAAAATAATCGTAAATAACGAGTAGTCCTCTTTGTATGTAAAGCGATAAAGTATAGGCGCTTGTTTAATATCCTTTTATTGGGCAAAATGCTCCTCCTCACTCCTTTTCTTCCGTCGCGTCTCTCTCGTCCTTACTGTTTTCATGCCCCTTTCACAATTCCTTCAAGTTTATGTTTCAAAACGCCTCTTTCTAGTCTTCACCACGACTTCACGCATGCTACATATCTCCTGGCTTAATCCTACTTCAGCGTTTCCTACGTACATGTAACCTCAGTTTCTTCGGTTTTCTTCACGATTTTTTTACGTGTCCAACCTTCACACCCCTTCTAGCTTCCTCTATGTTTCACTTATATCTGATAGATAACTTTCAATGTACTAATCCCATTGGAAATTATCTGTCGGATAAACTTAAGGTGACAATAAGGCATAAAGGCTGGATACTTTGTAAATTCAGCTGCTAATTCCCTTCATATTTTCATAATGTGCAGTTTGCATGAGAAAATGCGCGCCCAGGTCGTAGATAGATCGCGATAAGTTAATTTAAAGTAATTGTGTCATGAGAACTGGCCACTTCCAGTAGTTCGTTCAAAAGGACGCGTTTAAATAATGTGATAAAGTACGCACGTAAGCGCCGCCGGTCTGGTGCACACACCTTTCTTATAATCGTCGCATTAACATTTAGTGGGAATAAGTCTTTGCACACCGGTCATGAATTAAGGGATGCACGCAATGTCGGTGTTTATTTAGCGCATTTGACGAGTTACATCCGGAAGGTTATTGTTCGTGAGTATAGCAAACTATAATTTGGTTACTTGATGATTCTAATCACCGATATTGGTCACTCTACGTTTGTTTATAAACATTTTTCATTTAAATTTTAGTTCTCACGCTCACGAATACGCAGAGAAATGGTGTCCATTTTACGCAAATAAGAGGAAGGGGGTTGTATTGTTGCTAAAGGGAAACCAACTGACCAAGGTCATTTCACGCCCTACAAAATTCTTCAGACAAGAGTAACAGGAATACCACAAAAGTAGAATACCTACCGGCACCCTACGCCATCATGGATTAGGTGACATTACACACAACCTGGAGATTTCCCCAATTTCATTGCCCGTGGGTTTCCCAAAGTCATATGGATTTCTCCAAGGCAATAGCCTTGAAATTTACCTAAGGTCATGGCCTTGGAATTTCCCCAACGTCATTGCCCTGGAATTCTCAAGGTCATTGCCATGTGATCTCCCAAGGTCATTGCTCTGGATTTTTTCAGGTCGAGGCTTTGAGATTTGATTCAAGGTCGTAGTCTTGGATGCTGGATCATAGTTACGGTCTTGGATTCCGGATTAAGGTAATGGCAGGAGCAAAAGCAAAAAGGGTTCAATAAAATAAAATAAAATAAGAGAAAGATGCTGCTGCTGCATTGCAAAATCTAAGCTATTCTTAAAAAAAGCCTTGGAACGTTTTCGAGTTTAACTTCATATGTTCGGTAAAAAAGGTTCTAAGTTTAAGAATATATTTGAGATACTTTAGTTTTTAGGAAGAGGTTTGAAATACGTTTTCATTTTCAAAAGTTTAAAAGAAGAAAATAAAAAATAAAAAAGTAAGCAAGCAAGGAGGCAAAACAAAAAAACTTTACTGAAATATAACGTTTTCCTCCGCCTGCAAACGTTTTCAGTTTTAACTTTATGTGTTCGTAAAAAAGAAGAAAGAAGAAGGTGTTGGAGATAATTTAAGATGAATGTCTCCATGGTGTTGGAGATACTTTTTAACTTTAGGAAGAGGTTTGAAATACGTTTTCATTTTCAAAATTTTGCAAAGAAGAGGAAAGAACAATAGAGTTCAAGCTAAGAAAACGAAACAACAACAATAAATAAAGGTTCTGTATTTACCCTACATCCTGGTTCTTGAAACTTGAAACTTTGACATATGGCTGGCGTCGCCGCCTCTCCCAGGATTTAGTCAACTGTCGTGAGGATGCGTCCCTGGTAGGCACTATCAGGGACGTTTCACCACTACTTTGTTGCCATCGCGCTGGGCCGCGACATATGCCAAACAATGTGGTGGAGTTTGTGGATTGGGGGGGTTGTGGGGGGAGGGGGCTAACTGGGTGTTATCCGACCCGAACGGGTACGGCCACAGCTTCGCCACTGGTATTCTGCCTTAGAGGGAACTCTGCTTTCTAGTGATAGCTTCTTCTCCGGGAGTAGGGAAAGAATGGGGGTGCAAGAGCGCAGGTCATGACCCGTCTAGGTCATGACCTCGTCTGCTAACCTCCAAATGCGTATGGGGTTACAACCAGCTATTGATGGGGTTGCAAGAGCGCTGTCTGCTAACCTCCAAAATGCGTATGGGGTTACAACCAGCTATTGATGGGGCTGCAAGAGCGCTGTCTGCTGACCTCCAAATCGTATGGGGTTACAACGAGCTATTGATGGGGCTGTAAGAGCGCTGTCTGCTGACCTGCAAAATCGCACAGGGTACCAGATATAATTTTGACTTAAACAATGTAGCCGAAGTAGTTAATTAAATTTAGCATTCGTAGACGTTATAAATTACTTTGAAAACTACTTGGTTTTCAAAATTAAACATTAATATATGCATAGGATGAACAATTTGCATATCCAAGGAGATACCTAATTAATTGACATTCATAAATGTAGTTTTTTGAATAAATACATATAAATAATGAATAAATTGGTATGTCATTATTCAAAAATCTTTTATTATTATTATCTGTGAAATGCAATAAAATTCGTTTGAAAAAGGTTTTGTTTACAGTATTGACAAGTTATACATTGTAGCAAATATTTGCATATCTTAAAGAAGCACCTGGTTAAATGTTGCATTCATAGATGTTAGTTTTATAACAAAGCTGAATAGCTGAGATTGCTCCAAGTATGGGTTGATAGGTAGGTATAGGTGTTACATGAAACCCTTGTGGGTATTTCATAGGTATGTGTTTTTAAACTAGTGTAGCTGCAAGAGCGCTGCCGATTGACCTCTAAAATCGCAAGGGGTATCAGATATAATTTTTAATGAATGCAAGCGCACCGGTTATTATGCATGCGATTTAAAATGTAGCCAAAATAGTTAGTTAAGTCTGACAGGCGTATACGTTATAAATTAAGTCTTTGTTTTCAAAATTAAATATTAATACGTACAATGAACAATTTTGCATATCATGTAATTTTTTTTTTGTAAAAAGAATGGATTTTGGTTTTTTATGAAATGCAATAAAATTCGTTTTAAAAAGTTTGGTTTACAACATTGACAATTTATACATTGTAGCAAATATTTGCACTTGTGTAAGAAGCACCTGGTTAAATTTTGCATTCATAGACGTTAGTTGTATAACAAAACTAAATATATTGTCGTATAACTCACAATCTATTGGCAGATTTCTAGGTCTCACAGTTGCTAATGTATAACAGTACAGCTATATAATTCTGCTTAGTATGTGCACCTATGTACCTGAATATGTTACAGTAAACTTGCAAGGCAAGTAAAAAATAATTACTGCATCAGTTGTGAATATGGACATCTCCAGCTGTTTTTAAGGCATCGAATAATACAAATTTGAAAATCTTTAATTATATTTATTAATTATAAATATTTCGACCGTGTTGCCTACTTCCCGCAACGCGAAGGTAACAGCCCCCAACGCTGTGATTATGGGTGGGCCATTTTGGGGCACTGTGACCGCTAATAGCGGTATTCCTTGCTCCTTGGTAATGACCGTCCTGGGCGTTGAATTGCTACTGGGCCTATCTACCCAAATCTCCGCCGGAGTTACATCCCATATTTCAATGTCTGGTAACAAAAAGTCAATACGTAATGATTTGTGCACTAAATGTTTTAATTTTACTCACCATGATTTTCCATTTCAGTCGTTATTAATACCTTCTATATGAGATAAATCTGTATTTATATGCAACTAAGAGAGAGTGGGGAGGGTGAATATCATTAGAAGCAATATATAAGGAGAAGTAAAGTTGGAGAAACCATTCAAATAGTGCAAGGAAGACTTCTTTAAGTTGACGTAAGCATGAGTGATCCTTTGCGTAACGATAAATCTATTAATATATTACAAAATATAGTAGTGGTTCCGGCAAAAGAATGTGTGCCTGTATCGCAAGAAATTGAGAACGATTTAATTGGTAACAATCTATATTGCCCAGATTTTGATGTATCGCTCCTTGAAGAAGTGTTTGGAGATCTTGGAAATCTGAAACGTCAATTGATAGAAGTAGAACAAAAACTTTCTCGTTTTTTTAAGATTCTGTTTATTAAGCGACAGTACAATTACTGCGATCTTAAGTGGTGCGAGTGTCAAACCGAGCAACTTATTCAAACGAGGATGAAGTTATTAGCAGATATTCAACAGTTTTCTGACCCTTTTTTACAGTAAGAATCTTTTTTACGAAATTAACTTTTCTTGTACATTTGCACTTGTTATAGGAGCTGCCAATAAAAATGTTCAACTGTCCTAAGTGTAATAAATCTTTCACTTTAAGAAGTAGTGTCCTACGCCATCTCAAAACGTCATGTGCTGGTAAGAAATTTTTGTTACAAACACAATAATTACTTTCTTTTTTTTAATCGTAGTTCAAGAACCAGCTCTGAAAAAAAAGGTAAAGATTACCCATGGGGGGCAGCGGTATTGTGATACGTGTTTTGAGCATATTTCGACCCGGGACTATGTGGGACATTTACGTACTACCAAACACAAAAATAATTCCCTTGTATTTTCTACTGAAGGTGTTGATGTAGTTAAGTCGGCCTTCAAATCTCGCATAATAAGCTACAGGATAACCCCGAACAAGCAATTTATTGTTCTGAAAGAATTTACCAGATCTTTGACTGATGTAATACAAAAATTGGTACGTGAACAAATTGGTATAATGGGCAGCTTGAAGGTGAACTGCGAGTTATTTGGTCATTTTATTTTGGAAGCAAAGGAACGAGGTGACGTTAAGTCTTTTAATACTCGAAACCAAATACTGACGGTGAGCTCCGATTTAAGTGAATGGTTTAACGACGTCATTTCAAAATTTGAAGCAGACGCCTCAGAATTTCAAGAGAGAGACTCGGGTATAATACATATATATATATATATATATATTGTTCGTGTAATAACTACATACCTATTATTACTTTCAGGATGGGCTCTGCAACAATGGTTGTACATAGAACTTAACATCAATAGGTACAATCCGTTACGAGCGTCATCCTTTATACCGACCCCTTCGTTTATTTCTCGCAAAAGGGCTACAATCAATGTTAGAAACAACGACTTCGCGTGTTTTGGTTGGGCGTTGATGTCAGCTATCGATACTCCAACTGGACCTCCATGTCAACCCGAGTCTTATCGACATTATTCAGAACTGTTCAATTTTGATGGAATCACATTTCCCGTAAAATTGGATGCAATAGCGAAATTTGAAGAGAATAATCCCTTGTCAATTAACGTGTATGGATTGGAGGAAGATACGCAGAAGGATGGTAAAGTTGTTTACAAAATAGTGGGTCCTTTGCATTATACTAAACAGAAAAAGACGTTGCATGTAAATCTTCTATATTTGACTAGTGTAGATGGTAATAGCCATTATTGTTGGATTCAGGATATGTCGAGATTGATTTCCATGCAAGTGTCTAAGCACAAAGAGGCAATTTATCTTTGCGACGGATGTCTCGTATATTTTGCAACTGAAGAAAAGCTTTGGCGTCATTCAATATTTGATTGCAACTATGTTCGTACATTTTTACCCACAACTGAGCCTATAGTAACAAAATGGGGTGAATCGTCATTTCAAAATCAATTAAAATTCGATAACTACCAAAAACGACTGAAACTTCCATTTGTCGTATATGCAGATTTTGAATGCTTGCTTAAATCGATTCACGGTCCTGAACCAAACCCTCTGCTTCAATTTACCACCAATACTTTCGAACACAATCCGTATTCTTTTGCGTATTATATTAAGTGTTCGTTTGATGATAGCTATTCAAAATTTCAAACGTATCGCGGTCCGGATGCTGCATTGCAATTTGTAAATATGATAGAAAGTGATATTAGAACCTTATACAATCAACATTTTAAACACGCTAAACCTTTACCAAAACTAACAATAGAAGAACAGCGAAAATATGATAGTGCAACCATTTGTTGGATTTGCGAAAAGACTTTTCTTGATGGGGATGTAAGAGTATTAGACCATTGCCATTGGTCAGGAGTTATGAGAGGCATTTCGCACTCTACTTGCAATTTACAGCTCCAAAATCCAAATTTTGTCCCCGTATTCTTTCATAATTTAACTGGATATGATGCTCATATGTTTGTTAAATGCTTGGCTTTAGAGAATGAAAACATAGACGTCATTGCTACTAATAAAGAAAAATATGTTTCCTTTACTAAGCATATTTCAGTTGATCAAATTGTGGAGAATGGGGTTCCCAAAAATGTGATTTGGCGAATTCGTTTTGTAGATAGTTTTCGTTTTTTAGGTAGTTCATTAAACGTGCTTTCCAAAAATTTAAGTGACAGTGAATGTAATGAAATAAAAACATTCTTTGGAACTGGACGCGCATTTGAGTTAATTAGGCAAAAAGGGGTGTTTCCATACTCATTTGTAGATGCATTTGATAAACTCGATCAAACTCAACTTCCCAATAAAGCCGATTTTTTTGATAAGCTACATGAGCAACATATTACGGAGGATGAATATTCTCGTGCTCAGGATGTTTGGAATCTATTTCAATGTCAAACGTTAGGCGAGTACTCAGACATTTATTTAAAATCTGATGTGCTTTTGTTGGCTGATATCTTTGAAAATTATAGACGCGTGTGTCTCCATAATTACCAACTCGATCCAGCGCAATATTTTACCGCTCCTGGTCTTAGTTGGGATGCTATGTTAAAAAAGACAGGTGTAGAATTGGAGTTGCTAACCGATATTGATATGCTAAATTTTTTTAAAGGGGGTGTTCGAGGTGGTGTGAGTACTTGCACCAAACGCAGAGCAATTGCAAACAATAAATTCCTTGCCAATTACGATCCTTCGAAACCAAGTTCCTATATAGTTTATCTCGACGCTTGTAACCTTTATGGTCATTCAATGAGGCAATACCTCCCCCAGCGCGACTTTGTGTGGCTAACACCTCAAGAAATTAAGAGTTTTGAGGTTTCCAAAATATTAGACGAATCAGATACGGGTTACGTTTTAGAAGTCGATTTGGAGTATCCTGAACAATTACATGAAACGCATAACGATATGCCTTTTTGTCCAGAATCAATGACCCCTCCAAATTCTACTTCGAAGTATCCAAAACTTATTCCAAATTTAAATCGCAAAGAAAAATACGTCATTCATTATAGGTCTCTAAAGCAATGTTTACAACACGGGTTAGTTTTGCAGAAAATTCACAGGGGGATTAAATTTACACAATCACCTTGGCTAAGAACCTATATTGATTTAAATACCGAACTTCGTAACCGTGAAACCTCAGAGTCCGGTCGCAATACCGTAAAGACTATGACTAACAGTATTTTTGGGAAAACAATGGAGAACGTGGATAAGCGAGTTGATATTAAGCTTGTAAGTCATTGGGAAAGGATCGGTAGGAAACTTGGAGCAGAAGGACATATATCAAAACCGAATTTTAAAAATCTTTCAGTATTTTCGGAAAACTTAGTTGCAGTTCAAATGTCGAAAGTTTCAGTGACTTATGATAAACCAGTGTACGTTGGTTTTTCTATTTTAGATTTATCGAAAACCGTTATGTATGAGTTTTTTTACGATTTCTTAAAGCCAATGTATCGTGAGAAGGTAACTTTATTGTATACAGATACCGATTCCCTCGTGTTAGAGATTTTTACAGATAACTTTTATGAAGATATGATATCACATTTGGATAGATTTGATACGTCAAAATTTCCGGTTAACAATCTACATGGTGTCCCCCGTAACATCTCAGTTGTAGGTAAAATGAGAGATGAATATTCCGGTGTTCCCATCTCTAGTTTTTACGGTGCAGGTGCAAAGTCATACTGTGTAAATGTAGGTGACCATGTTGATAAAAAAGCTAAAGGTGTCAAAAAATACGTAATAAAGAACTGTTTGAAAGAGGATGACTATAAAAAAGTAGTCGAGGAAGGTGGGGTTATTATTAAAAAAATGAGTGGTTTTCGATCTCATTTACACACTATGTACACAGAAATGAGAAATAAGATAGCGCTATCATCCACAGATGATAAGCGATACGTTATCCCTGGCACCGTTAAAACATTGGCATGGGGTCATCGTGATATTAAATCAATTAAAAGCTTGAACGATTTGATTAACTCCTTCCAATAAAAATTATAATATTTACAATATATATATTTAGAAAAAAAATGTTATACAATGTAATCAATTATTGTTACAATAATAATACAAAAATGTACATCTTTTATTATGTTTTATTATAATCTCCATCTCCCACGTGTAGTCTGTCGCGAACTTGATCTACGAACGGAACACAAGTCTGATTTATCATGCGAAGAGCTCCTGAAGCATTAAGTAGTCTTGCGAAGTGACATCTTGGCGACCATCGAAGATGTTCTGCTATGGGAACATCCGTCGCCAACCAGTGATTAATGCGTACCTTGCAGTAAAAGCATTCCACTGTATCACCTATATTCTTATAAATAAAACCTGCACGTGCAAGCGATTTCGGTGATGTATGAGGTCCACGCCATCTTAGAAATGATAATAAGCGATTTTCAAAGATAGTGTAATCAGGTACACCGTCGTCTAAACACATTTCTATACCAAATCTTTATTTGATATCCAGGAGTTGTGGGAGCTATCGAAACCTAACCACTTCACAAATGATTTCTGTCCTTTTCGTCGTATAACACGCTCGACTAAGTGAATGTCGGGAAATTTTGCAGCTTGCAACTCTTGTTCGTAGAATCGACCTTTTATTTCCTGTTTTCGACTGTCTTCTAGAATGTACGTAGTTGGATTTGAAACTTTCACTTTAACCACTGTAAACACTTCGTAAGTCCAATTTGGAGTGTATCCTTTCGTAAAAACCGTCCTGTATTTATTTATTCTCACAAAATCCCCCACTTTATATTTAGGTGGTTTAGGATCAACCACTTTCATACGACTAAAAGATTTCTTTAAAATATGTGAAGCATTTTTCTCATTAACTTCGATAGGTTTATAACCGGTAGTTTTATGTATAGTTGCATTATACTTGTCAACTATTCGTGGTAAAAGCCCTAACCATTTATACGATCCTTGTAGACTAAATTCCTTCCACATCATCCCTTTAAGGGTCCGATTTACACGTTCTACAATACTGCTTTTTAAGTTCGAAAAAGAACTAAAATGATTAACTTTGAATTTTTTCATAACTTCGCTAAAGTCCTTATTATAGAATTCCTTCCCCATATCTGTTTGTAGATTTGTTGGAGGGGTTACTAGTTGTAATAAAAGCTTCTTCATGGTATCAGCTACCATTTTGCCATTTTTTCGTTTTATGGGAAAAGCCCAAACAAATTTAGAGAATGCGTTTATAATAACCAAAATGTAACGGAATCCTTTATTTGTTCGCGCATAAGGTATCATTTCTACTAAATCGGCTTGAAATAAGTCATTTAATCCTTTTATGATTACACGTCGTCTTGGAAAGTTCTTTCTTGCCGGTTTATGTAATTCTTCTACTAGTTGAACTTTGCTCATTTCTTAAGCGTAGATTGCAATACGGCTGTTAAACAAAATATTACCCCTTCTTCGGCATTAGGGCAAACTGCACTTATACGATCGCCTTTGCGTAATGTTAAACCGTTTAGGAGTAATGGATCTGCATACTCTTTTCCGTTAATAGTTACTTTACTGCGGCGCGGACCCCAAACGCATTCTATGATGGTACCTTCGGTGAGGCGAAATCTACACGTGCCATCATCTTCCGGATTGAGAATGTTAATGTCCAACTTGTTTTCACTCGCTAATCCAATCACATGAAAATAGTGTTCATAAGTATAACGTGAGGGATCATCGCACACCTTATGAGCGTGAATGTGACGTCCGAATTTGTCAATAGTCATTGTTGCAATGATCGAATAAGTAAAAGGTTGAACAAATTTATTTTACTCGATTATTCCAGAACTACGCAGTTCTTCAGTTATATATACGATTTCGTTGTTATTCGCAGTATTTCCAGCAGACTTGGATCCTAATAACACCCTTAACCAGTCCACTAATTTGTTAGGATCATTCCAAGGAATGAATTCGATTTTTTTGTTATTAAGGCGCAGTGTCGCTAGTGAACCTCCTCGTTTACTACGACGGGACAGGGTACGCAGTCTCCGCGGTGGGTCTAACTGAGATGATGAAAAACCGCTTGAATAATGCGGTTCTTGTAGAAGTGGCTTAATAATGTTCACGTACTTTATTGATTTACCGGTTCCTTGAATTTGGTCTGAGGCGTTGTAATTCCGACGTGCTGCATTAGTACGTACAATAATATCGCGATATGCCTTTGAGTCCGCTGTTTTGAATCCAATTGGTGCTCTTTTGAAGAGTAATTCGAACAAACCCGGCGTTCCCTTATACTGAAATCGATCTCCTGTAGAAGATGTGATAACAATATCTTCTTTGTCAAAGTCCAATTCTGAATCGCCCACATTAAATTTATTTAAAGCGGGATCATAGCGAACTCCATACTTATGATCATATTCATTACTAGTGTCTCTGAATATACCTTCAACATATATTTTTGGTAAACCTTGGTACTGATCAAGAAACTCTTCAAATGCCGGATTGTTTCCTACGTGAGACAGTTCTTCACGTAATTGATCTAATGTTGGCGCATAATTTCCCTCTGGAGTAGAATCTCCATATTCACTTTCTTCTAAAATGCTCGGCTCATTCAAGATACTCGGCTCATTTACAGAAAAGAGGTTTCTGGCCACTTTTTGAGGAGTGGAGGTCTTTTGTTGCGAAGTGTGTTGGGCAAAAATCGGTGAATGACGTTTAATGCTTGATGAAGGTTCAGTTTTCACGGGTTCGCCATTTGCAGTCGTTAATAGTTGTCGTAAGGGTTGCGTAATCGGTTTAAAATGTCGCTCCACCTCTCGTTCTGTAGAAGCGATGTCTTTTCGTAAACTGTCATATTTTCGCTTTACAGATTTTCGGGCTATTAAGAGGTCCTCAACTAAACGTCTTTCCATTTTGACTACAGCAAGTTAGTTACGACGATTGTATTTATAATGATATGTAGCAATCGAATCCCATTCTATAACGTCCACAATTATTATCACTCCCCTTATCTATTACTAGAAACCCGTACTTTTGTCTCCAACAATGAGAGCAGATTTCCTTAAAACGATGAAAAGACATATCAACATTTACGTGGTCATCAAATACATGTTTTAAATTGGTATAGTCTTGTTGAAATAATATAATTAAGTTCGCGTTATCACGTATAAGTTGCTTCGGTATAGAAGAGTATGTCTGGCACAGATAAAAACAATCATTATTTTGATGCCTACCGAAACAGAAATGTTCACGTATTTCATCTTGTTTGTGGCATGCTACGTCATCGAATATCATAACAGAATTCTTCCGCGTCTGATTAGGGGGTATAACATCGACACTATCATCGTATTCATAATATCCAATACCCTTTATAAATGACAATAATTGACGAAGGTAGTCATATTTAGGTTGATACAAAGATTTACTGTACACATACACGTTTTCAAAGCGTAAACCATTAGGGTGCTCTAATAACGCTATCATAACATTGGTCTTCCCAGATCCAGAAGGTCCCACGATCACACCTCGTCTACATCCGCCTTTAAATAGATCACTATGTTTAGAATGTTGTTTAGCGGAAGAAAATGAATCATAATTTTTAACAGGTAATTGCACTTCTTGAGGAGTAAATCTAATGGTAGTCATGTTAGAACTGACAAATCGGTATTGTAGACCGCAGCATATAAATACGGTAGGTATATAAGTACGCGTCGTTCGGATAATAAGTTTATAGTAAAAAGAGTCTTTTAAGAATCAACACGTATACAGCATCTCTATGAAAATTTATACTCGAAAGAATCGTAAATTCAGCCGAAAAGGGAGAGGGTTTCTAAATACAATTATAAATAAATTGCCAGTCGAATTACATCTGCCTGGATATAACTACTGCGGCCCTGGAACTCGTTTAAAAAAACGCTTGGCTCGCGGTGACCCTGCAATAAATCCTTTAGACGAAGCTTGTAAAGAACACGATATTGCATATTCACAATCTAAAGAACTAAGCCATCGACATAAGGCGGATAAGATACTACAAGAGAAAGCTTGGAATAGATTTCGCTCCTCTGACGCTAGTTTCGGTGAGAAGGCGGCCGCCCTTACAGTAGCTGGTGCTATGAAAGGAAAAAGAACATTCGGAATGGGTACAAAATCACGAGTGAAACGAAACTCTCCTATTACCTTCAATAACGCAGTCAAGTTGGCTAGAAAACGTATAGGCGGTAAAATACATTCCAACTTAGAGGCAACGGCTCGACGAGCTCTGGGAGCGCTGAAGAAAAGAAGCGTACATCCTCCAAAGCAAAGAATTTTACCATTGCCTAAAACAGGGGGTTTTTTACCTCTTATACCATTATTTGCGGCTTTGGGCGCTCTTGGTTCACTAGGTGGTGGAGCAGCAGCCATAGCAAAAGCAGTAAACTCTGCAAATGATGCTAAGAAGACGCTGGAAGAAAAAAAACGTCACAATCAAGCTATGGAAGCCGCGGCTATTGGAAAAGGTCTTTACTTAAAACCGTACAAAAAAGGGTTAGGTCTATATTTAAACCCGTATCAAAAAAACTCCCAGTGAAGCTACCACATCGAGCATTAACCGACGTCGACCTCAGTAAATACATCAAACTTCTAAAAATACCACACTTTAGAGGTATCTTCATGCGCAATGGTTTACCAAATCGGATAAATAAAACGGAATGTGGTATCATCAATTTGGATGACAAAATAAATGAGGGCACCCATTGGACGGCATATATTAAACGAGGAAGTCGTGTAGTGTATTTTGACAGTATAGGTCACGTTAAACCTCCACTAGAACTGGTTCATTACTTTCGCGGAGGTGGTAGCAGAAATACAATTGAATACAATTATGATCAATTACAAGCACTCAATACCTATAATTGCGGGCATTTAGTGTTAGAATTTTTATACAAGAACACATAGCGTTGTGACTTAGTCGCAAAGAAAAACATCAACATGTCGTACACATTTTCGTTCACGAATACAAAATCTGTCTTAACCGCAGATTTTAATCCACCCATATATCTCCATACTAATGATGAATACGTTTTGGGACTAACGAGTTTCGAAACTTTTAACAGCATACAAAACGTTACATCCGCAAACAACCGGTTTAAATACGGAAGTACAATAATAGACATTCCGCATGGTTGTTACGAAGTTGCAGATTTAAGTGAATATATCAGTACCGAAGTTTCAAAAAGTGGAGGATTCCTAGATTTGCGTACTAACAACAATACGCTCAAGGTGTCTATTAAATCGACTCAAGAAATAGATTTTACTACACCGAATTCAATCGGATCACTATTGGGATTTGAGAAAAAAGTCTTCCCTCCGAAAATTACACACACGGCAACATTTCCGGTAGACATTATAAACGTCAACTCTCTGCTCATCGAGTGCAATATTACAACGGGCAACTTCAAGAACGGTTCGCCTGGCCACATCATTCATCAGTTTTTCCCAAACGTTCCTGCGGGCTATAAGATAATAGAATCGCCTCTTCATGTTATTTATTTACCAATTAACGTTACTACCATTTCCAACATTACCCTTAAAATTCTCGATCAGGATGGAAACATTGTCAATTTCAACGGAGAAGTGATCACGATAGGATTACATCTTAAAAAAGTTAAAAATGGTGAAGCGTTATAACCATTGTGGATGTAAACGTGCATCACATAAAAGGACCAACAACACTAGGTCAAGGGTTAGTCAGAGTTCTACGCGCAAACCGCTAACATCTGCTAACAAAATATTTCTAAAGTCTCTCGGTTTTACACTCTTGCAATGAATATCTTAGACGTTAACGAAAAAGTGCTTGTGGACAATAGCATTATAAATTACGAATATCACACCCATCAACCATACACTACCAGATTTGGAAATAACGATGAAATTAGGATTCCAATACAAGAAGATATGTGCACTCTTCCTTGTGAGAGCTATCTCTATATTGAAGGAAGGTTATTACGACAAGATAATACAGCTTCACTTACGGGAAAATTTGTAAATAACGGTGTGGCGTTCTTATTTAGTGAAATTCGTTATGAAATAAACGGGATTGTGGTGGACTCGACAACTAAAACAGGATTGTCATCGACGATGAAGGCTCTGGTTTCTTTAACCTCTAATGATAGTACGCGATACCAAAATTCTGGATGGTTTCCTACCACTGACAGTGCTATTACTAGTCCAACGGGTCATTTTAACGTTTGCATACCCCTAAAAATGCTTTTAGGGTTTGCGGAAGATTACCGAAAAGTTATATTAAATATACGACAGGAACTTGTGCTGATACGAAGTAATACAGATAACGACGCCGTCAAATCTACAGTAGCCGATGAAGCACTTAAGGTTGACGTCGAGAAGATTTATTGGAAGGTGCCTCATATCATTCCGGCTCTGACAGAAGAATTAGCATTAACAAAATACATTGACAAAAATTCGGAGACTCAGATAGCATTTAGAAGTTGGGAAGCACATCTTTATCCCGCTCTCCCACAAACAGATAAACATACTTGGGCGATAAAGACAGCTACTAGTTTAGAAACACCTCGATATATCATCATCGGTTTTCAAACAGATCGTGACGGACAAGTGAGTAAAGATATGAGTCAGTTTGATCACTGTGACATTAAGAATGTACGCGTTTTCCTTAATACGGAGCGTTATCCTTACGACAATTTAAACATCAGCTTTGGGAATAATCGATATGCAACTTTATATGAAATGTACGCAAAGTTTCAGTCTTCCTATTATGAAACCGAAAATCGACCACTACTTACACCAAAACAATTTAAAGAGCATGCCCCGTTAATCGTGGTTGATTGTTCCAACCAAAAAGAAGGATTAAACTCGAAATCCGTGGTATTGCGAGTAGAATTTGAAACAAATGCTAATTTACCAAATAAAACTACGGCATACTGTTTGATTTTACATGATCGAGTATTTACGTACAATGCACTAACTAAGGCTGTAAGACAAGTATAAGGTTCGATAGTTAAGAATCGAATATTCAGTAGACGTTAGAATGGTGGTTGTAATTGACGTGCAGGGATTCAAAACGTCAAAAAAAGGATTTTCACCGAAAGAGCTCGCAATCTATAATGGCAAACAAGCAGCTCATTTTGTCTTCAAACCTCCATTTCCTTGGAACAACTTAGATAGTGAGTTTCAACGTCAAGCTAATTGGTTGACTCATAATCATCACGGAATTAAATGGGAAAATGGTCATACACCACTACATCTGTTTCCAATGATACTTCGGCAGTTAATATCACCATCGGATCAAGTATACGTTAAAGGAAAAGAAAAAGCTGATTTCATCCGGAAAACACTATCACAAAAAGTTATTGAAGTAGATGAAGAACCAGCCCTTCCACTGTTAGAAGCAAACTGCTATTATCATATACGCTCACCTTCTCATTGTGCTTTATCTAACGTTTATTATATTTATAATACTTACGTAATGCAGTAATTTTTTAAATAAACAACAATATTCAATATTTTAATTTTATTATTTGTACAATTGATACATTTTAATACGATTACATAGTATAGGTTCTAACAAACGTGCAACGCCTTCAATTCTACATTTAAAACGATACCGATCTAATGCCGCACTTTGCCATTGTCCTTTTCTTGCTTCTCTGTAGGCAAACGACCAAGCACGCATAACAAAAACTGTATTTTTTGATTTATCGAACCTAACACTTTTCATTTTGCAAAAGTCATTTACACCTTACACACAATTGAGTTTTGACGCACTTATAGCAACATACACCTTGAACAATCTTGAACTAAGCTTCTTCTTCGGTGTCACTTTTTTCACTCTCGCTGGAATCTGAAGTTTCCCACTTCTTCAAATCGTCTGCAGATTCTTCTAATCCAGCCTCACAAAGCTTACGTATAAGACAAGATAAACAGTATTTACCATTCAAGAACAAAATGCACAACTTAATACCACGATTATATTTTTTAGCAATATCATGACATTCTTCCTCGGTATAAAAACGACCTAGACCATATACTGCTTCATGCTGCGCATCAAACTCTAAAGCCGACATTTCTTGCACTAACCGTTCAACGCCAGTGCGTGCGTCGACGGGTTTGGTCCAATGTTCGGCAGCGTAACCCATCCACATCTTGTCGTATTTATACTAAGATACTACAACTACACTAATAGACACTACTTAAATACCTTTGCCACCTCCACGTCAAGCTCAACTTTACCGGGTAACAAAGTTACCACTTCCAACATAATACCGGCATTATTACAATTGATTGCCATTAAGGGGTCTAGAACATTCATTATATTAGTTTTAGGCTCCCCAGGCATGCCAGCAACCCCAGTAATTAAGTTGGTATAGAAATTTCCGAATTCTTCAGAGGACATGCAATTGAGTCGAAACTTGATTAGATCCAACTTATTCCATAACTCCAATATACTCTCCCATCCTAAATATATTTCATATGGTCCCAATTCGGAAATTTTGATAACTCTCCGATCACTGATTGTTAAAAAATCGATAGTTTTGGTGAGTATCTTGATGGGATGCCAAATTGCATAAGTTGAGTAGAAATAATTTGTAATTACTCCCTGTTGCTCTAAAAAAGCTTTCCATTCCTTTTCGTCAAACACAATATATTGACCCTTCACTCCACTTAATTTCACTACCGGTAAAAGTGAGATATCAGGAGATAAGCCAACACTAACAAATTTCGATTGCGATTTATTTAATGAATACGAATATTGATTAAATAACTGTCGATGCACTTTTGTCTCTTCTTGTTCTGCTTTGACTGATGGGGTCTTTACAACTTCACCAACCTTCTTCTTGGCGTCTTCAATGTACTTAGTAAGATGCTCCATTACTTCGACGTAACACTGTTCACTATTATTCAACACGACCACATATATACGCTCTACCAATGCAGCGCTCTTGCAGCCCCACCAATAGCTGGTTGTAATCCCATACGATTTGGAGGTCAGCAGACAGCGCTCTTGCAGCCCCATCAATAGCTGGTTGTAACCCCATACGCATTTGGAGGTTAGCAGACAGCGCTCTTGCAGCCCCATCAATAGCTGATTGTAACCCCATACGATTTGGAGGTCAGCAGACAGCGCACTTGCAGCCCCATCAATAGCTGGTTGTAACCCCATACGCATTTGGAGGTTAGCAGACGAGGTCATGACCTAGACGGGTCATGACCTGCGCTCTTGCACCCCCATTCTTTCCCTACTTCCGGGGATATTCTGAAATTTTTATCTCCTCCACACATATTATACTTTGTTCACTGGTGCTGACCTGACGTCATAATGTTGATTCTCTCTTCATTACATTTAAATCGATTGAGACAAAAAATTACGTCATTAGACGTAAGTCGCTGACAATAAACCAATTGATCTGTCATAACTATCAATCCGTTCAAACGATTGTTCGTTTAGACAGAATTTCCAGTGTTGATTAGGTAGTTTGTGTTAAAAGTGAAGTAAATATCATCAAAGTTAAAAACGCTTAGCAAGTCGGACAGTGCAGCAACGCCGTTAATAGACAAGTTATTTTAAAATTTTACCACATAATGGTTCGATTCGCTGCAATATCATGAATTATAGGGTCATTCCCGTTACCATTAGGTAAATATGACAGAACCGATACAAGAATGAAGATGTTCGCCAGAACACTTAGGTATTTGAATGATTTTATAGGTGAGAATGTTACACTCCGTTCCTTAAACAGTAATGGCTTCAACGACTTGATGGCGTAGAAATATCTGGTACCTCTGTGTGTGTCCCGCAGTTTGAAGAAACTGAAATTCACGTGGCGGAGATTGCACCGTCTCCAATAGATTATTTTATGGAACAGCCCTATGCAGTTCAAAAAGACTACAATTTTTTGAAAGACTGTTAAACACAACGAAATTCACTCTTTCATTACGACCTGTGGTTTGTAGACGAAAACCTGATATACAGTAAAGGGTTCCTTTTAGAAGAAGCTGGGCAAGATGTACTCTCAAACAGTTAGAAAAAGAAGTTAGTAAGGGGTCCGGTATATACTAATACTCCATGCAGGATCAGAAGATGGAATTTGTGGGTGTAGGGTCGCTTGTTGTCTTTTTGTACAACCGATTTGAATATGAAAACATTGAGAGTTTTTTTCTTCACTACTGTTTCTTTCAACAATTGCGTTTTTTTTAAAATAATCGATCAGAAGATATTCAAAGATCCTTATTGCGGAATATCTCGACTGTGTGGCAAAAGAACAGAAAACTGTATGTATCGATGGTTATTTCAAGAGCCACTGGTATAATGACTCGCTTTACTCAATTTGAAGATGTTTAAATTGCAACAGCTTACCGATAAACCGATTGGTTCTATTCTACTTCGCAGATGGCTAGTTAAGGGTCCATTAAAATTCGCGCAACTTTTAACGGTATTCTTCACATTGGCTAGCATACTTAATTTCACATCAGTCATTATGTAAACAAAATATTATATTACGAACTGCCTAAAAACAAACTTTTAAGTTACAAATGTTCCGTATTGGTTCTTCTGTAACCATCATACATTCATCGGCAAAGAGTTTCGGATGCTCGGGAGTATCCTTTGGATGGCAAAGAATCACGGTTACATGAGGTGATTACAAGACGTTGAAAAGGTTTAATTCATACCAACGGAATTCCTCTACATAAAATACAGACCATTTAGCCATTATAAAACCTAAGAACAGGAAAAACCTATCAGAACCGATGCCTTACAAGTGATTGTCAACTTGGGCGGTCTAATAATGAATGAACGATAGTGACACCTTAATAAATAAGTTGAAACGTCAAGTGGACATATGTAACAACTACTAATTTACGACCTGCCTTAATTTGCGTATGACGTCAGATAGATGTGACGAAAGTTCAGCACCCTTGAAAAAAGGTATACACACATTATTCACACACGAAAGAGATGCAGATAATCGCGTAACTTGATAATAATGATGCGAGAGAGATTAATAATACTGGTAATGCGTCGATGTTAACGCACGGGAAGGTAACCGAATACTAGTTCCTGACATTAGGTCTTACCGCAGTCATGACCGCACGGTTTTCTTCAAGATTGTTGACCTCGGGGGTTTTCCAAGCTCGTGACCTTGGACTTTGACAACGGATTTTCCCCAAGGTCGTTCGAGGTTATTGACCTGCGATTTCCGTAAGGTAGTTAACCTCGGGGTTTTCCAAGGTCGTTGCCTTGGACTTTTCTAGTTTAACTTTATATGTTGGTAAAAAGGTTCTAAATTTAAGAAGATAGTTGAGATATTTTATAAGTTTTTAGGAAGACGTAAGAAACGTAAGAAAAGTAAAACGCTTGTAGGAAGGCGAGGAGTGTACATGTACCCACCAGAGCTGTGTAATTAACAGCTTTAGGGACGGGGCTACATGATGTGGGGTCAGCGACATCTTGGCGCCATCTCCGAGCGTGTTATACTAACTTGATGTTTTTCAGTTTATTCCCATCTTCTTCTACAGTTTTGTTCCAATTGTTTTCAAATTGGTGTCGTTGAAAAGACACAACTCCTGCGTTTTATTTTTTTTTCCTAGGGGCGAAATTAACCACCTTTTGCAAGGTGTGCGTCTTCGAGGTGTATCCCGCCGGCCCTATCCACCCTTGTTTCTCTCCAAAAGAAGTAAAATAAGAGATCTCGAGATGTAACATCCACAAAGCTCCTGGTTTTGATTTTATCATCGGATACACTACCCAGAAAAGCACTAGTTTTGCTAACCACAATTTATTATAGCGTATTAAGATAAACAAACCACCCGATGGCATGGAAGTTCGCACAAATAATAATGATCAATACACGAAATAAACCTCCAAATGCAGTTTCCTCGTACCGGCCAATAAGCCTACTACCGATCATGTCCAAAACCTTAGAAATGTTACTGCTGAAAAGAATCTCTGAAGAGACTGAACAAAACATCCAATTTGGCTTTAGAGAATGCCACTCAACGGTACAACAATGCCACAGATCGTTAAAACACACACAAGCCTAGAAGAGAAAAAACGGCCTTCCTGGACGTTCAGCAAGCTTTCGACCGAGTATGTCATGAGGGTCCCCTATATAAACTTAAAACGCTCCTTCCCACACCTCACTACCTGATCCTAAAATCATATCTCATAGACCGATACTTTCAAGATTCAACATCGATACCTCAAATTATCTCCACAGAAAATAAAATACTACTAAATAGAAGTGTGTAATAAATCCAATATGGACATATGGAGTTTAAATTTGGGACCGTGCTGAACCATCCAATGCACAAATAATACAAAAAATCCAATCTAAGATGCTTAGAATGATCGTCAATGCACCATGGTACATACATTAGTATTAAGACCCTGCATGACGACTCTGGAATACTCTGCTTGTTGGAGAAGAAATCATCAGACTAACACTAAACTACCTAAAACAGCTCCCAGAACATCCCAATGAGGAAGCAAGAGAACTTTAGTCCGACATCAAAAGAAGATTAAAAAAACAGTTGCCTACGTATGTGCTAAATCAGTGGTCGGTTATTTTACACGGTTATGTCAAATTCAATTATCTTATAGGAGACCGTTCACTGGAGAACTTCTCCCTCAAATGTAGTTCGATAATCACATTTACTTATAGCTGTAACTAGCAGGTTGTGGATTAGCAATAAATCAAATTTAAAAAAATTCCTCGAAACATTTTTTGACACTAGACCAGAATTTACAACATTCAGGATCTGCCCTTGACATTGTTGTATTTTGACAAACTTCAGAAACTGCATTCTAGATTATTTCGGTTAACCAATTTGCTAAACTGCGAGTGTGAAGCGACTCTTTAAATATTTCAATAGACCAGTTTAGATGTTGTACTTGCATGAGATACACTCTCAGCTCCTCAACTATCAATTAACCCAATTCCTCAAGAATTCAATTCGGCGATTCTGCCCTTTTATGTCTAAGAATATATGTACCAAATTTGGTTCCAATCGGTTCAGCCGTTTAGCCCGAAATGAGAGTACAGACAGACATACCAGATTCCTGGTGCTTCAAAACGTGTATTTCCGTCAATGCAATACCTCACTTACGAACGTCTGGGTGGTCAATGTGCTCTACGTGAATTAATTCCATGTTGATAAGATAACTATAGTTAAGAGTATATAAATACTCTAAACCGCCTTCAGGAGATATTTGAAAATTTAAAGGTTTTTCCTGTGTGAAAAAGTATAATAATAGTTGTTTTAAAAATTGAGTGACCGGTCAATAGTATATTTCATTAGGAGTCCGGAAAGCAGGCTTTTTCCGTGCGCGCGTGGCAAAAGTCATGCAAGCACGGAAAAAGCATTTCTGGACGTGTAATGAACGATATTTTTTATTATACTTCTTTTAAATCGATAACATAAAAAACAACAAACTCGCTAACATTTTTATTTTGTAACAGTTATAGAAAATGCGTTTTCATGGTTACTCTCAAATCGTTTCAAAGGCGATTTGTTTAATTAGTTTATTTCAGATAAGGTTGACGAAACGTCAAAAAATGTCACAAATTCTCAAAGAAGTTTACCTAAATACTCAAACATCTACGAATTAAAACGCAAAATACCTACATATGAAACATTACAACGCATATAGAATTTCTGAAAATTAGTCTACTTCCCTGTAAATTTGTATTTGAAAGCAATATTTTGGGTATTTATATTCAGCGCACGGAAAGAATCAAAGGGACCGGGAAAACTTTTTACTCACAATCGGTTAGTATTATCTGAATTCCTAACCTTCATAGCGGTTGCGAAGCGACTCATTACTCACCTTAGCCGTCACTTTCCCGGCTAGCATCTGTCACTTTCCTTACCTGCAATTGCTATTCATATTGTCCTTATATGAAACTTATACTAATAGGTAGTGACACCACCAATGTAACCATTAATGTTTACAGCAATAGCAAATTACGAAGAAGAACGAAACTATTTGCTATTGTTGTAAACATTAATGGTTACATTGGCGGTGTCACTATTATTGACAGTTAAAGTAACACCTTGTTGAATTATATACTTTACCTTAAATGATCGATTGTGAGTAAAATAGTATACAAACCTCGCTGGTCGGTGGTTCATAACCAACGCCTCGCGCTTATACCTCACCTCCGCGCTTCGCGCGTCGGTGAGGTACCTTAAGCCCTCGGGGTAGGTAATGAACCACCTCCCAGCTCGGTATGTAATC